GCTGACCAAGAGGCAATTTATGCATGACATAATACTAGAATAGTCATAGTGATTATGTAATAGCCCTATGTGTAAAAATGTATAAATGTAACTTCCTTCAATGACTTAATAAAAGAGACGAATCTTAAGACGAATCTTTTGGATAGATTGTTATAACAGTGGAGTTATAAGTAGTTTTAGGGAAAACTACCTTGAGACTCGCCCAAATCTTTTTTACGCCTCTGCCTTGATTTGTGTTTTGTGTGTGATAGAAGGACAGACTCTTCTATCCGCAGGTTACATGAGCTTTTGGTCATTAGCGACAGACTCGCCGATTAACCTGCTACAATATAAAGACAAAATTTTAATAAATTTCCTTCCATATATTTTTCTTGGCTTTTTTTATAGTTAAAAATTCAAAGGAACAACCTGATGTCTCCTTTGATATTTATATAATGGACAAGTGGATACTAATTCGATATCTAGTTTTTTTAAAAAAATATATATAATATCAAAAGTTTATTATGAATTGGATTTATTAGAATGCCTTTGTTTTTGTTGACTTTGAAAAATATAAAGAAAGTATTAAATAGATTGAAATAATCCTAGAAAAGTAACCAATTTATATTTTTATCTTATTGGATTGAGAGATTGTATATTCATCTTTGTAATGTTCAATTAAGACTATTTTTTATTTACTATTTTGATAAAGTTTCTGATACTTACTGTATATCAATTACAGTATATATTCTTTCCATGCTGCTATTGTTAGAACTTTTCTAGTCCTAATTGATATTATTTTATAGGATTTTTATATCTAATCAGTCGTACCAGCTTAATCACCCGAAATCACTAAATAATTTTTTGATCAAACCAAGACCGCAATAGCTATACTTTGGTGGAAAGGAACCCTCACTTTATAGAATAGTGATCAAAAAATACCTCCATTCAAACATATTCTGCCCCATGTTTTATTAATTTGGCTGAACTCTACATTAATGTCTAATAATTATGCTATTCTGTTAGATCCATTCAATTGCCTTTATTTCTGCATCCTTGACTAGAAATAAAAATTCAAACATTATAATACATTTGCTGCAAACCTAATGAGTAAGATTTTCCGCTGGCTCTTTAATGACTGGTCCAAAAACATATTCCATATTGCGATCGTCCACAATAATCACGAGGTCACCATATTCATTGAACCGAAATAATTCTGGTCTTTTGCTAGCTCTATGTGGAAGCTCTACAGAAACATAAATATGCTTTCGATTCTCGGTGGCAATCTTGATTTGTTCATGATTCTTTGCATGCTCGGAGACCTTGGATACCCCATAATTCTTTGTGTTTTCTATATAATTCAGGTCATAGTTCAAATCATCTAAATTCAAGTCTTTATTATTATACTCTTCCTCCTTTTCTACTGAGATGCTCTCTTCGTGGAATGGTAAAATTTTATCAAGACCTATTTGAAGACGTTCTGGTTCCTTCCAAGAAAATTCCTCGAGATCCTCTACTTGAGGACTTTTTCTCTTATTCTTTTTCCGGATTTCCATATATTGAAACTTCATGCATGACCTGAATAACTGCTCCTTGATCTTACTTCGCTCAATAGGTTTTTCAGAAATTATACAACTCGCTGATAAAAGTATCATATTTTGCTCGTCGTCATTAAGAGAAATAACCACATCTGGTCCTGAGTATCTGTCTGGTTGAATTGCATAATGACAGTAATAATCCATATTATCAACATATTTTGCTATAGGAACCCCTCCTGATAGGTTTGATATTGTCGTAAACTTCATCGTAGGAGTTATCCATGAAGGAAGGTTAAATTGTTGTCCATTTTTCCATTTGTTAAGTTCTTCGCGTACATTGCGTCCACGTTTCTGGATAATTTCCGTAGTAAGGACAGCATTAAATTCATTTCCAATCGATGAGATATTATTTAGACGGATAATGTTATCAACAAAGACGTCTACCAGAGTTTTCCCACGTTTTAAAAGAAAAACCTCAATGCCAGAGACTAGATAAGATTCGAGTAATGGGTTTATTTCTATCTCATCAGGTAAAGTGACATTGCGGTCAAGAATAATGTATTTTGGTGACTGATAAGGAATGATGCTATGTTGGAGTAGTTCTATGGCTTGCTTGAATTTATAATTGTAGAAAACATGAAGCCTAAGAACGTCCATAATTGCTGTTTCCGGATTAAAGTTATTTGCTTTCAACCATTTACACACATTTTCCAAGTATGTTGCCACATCAAAGCTCAACTTTTTAGACCATGAATCAAGAAGTTCAAGTATTTCTTGATCTTTCGTTCTATTTTTTGATTCTCGCTCTGATACCAACATCCGAACAAACGATGCACAATTTCGAGGTCGCCCCCTGAGGATACATCCCAAGTAGTCACGAGTTTTAGGTGAAACATCTGTCAGATCAATTACAGCATCAAGGTTCCGCAGGACATCATCTTGAGAAAGGAAGGGAAGCTTGAGCACAATATGAGCACCCAAACCATGAAATTTTCCGATACTGGGGCTAGGAGAAATCTCACTTGCTATATTCATATAAGCACTGACGAGAAGGCAAGTAACGGGGAAATGGGTAAGATATTCAATGTAAGCCTGCAAAAGATTCCATTTTTTAACTGCAACTGAACCCCCAATGTATTCTCCATATTCAGGTCTGCATAAGAATTGCGCTTCATCAAATACCAAAGTAAGAGAACTTATATTAAGGCAATCATTGATCACTTCGATAAGTGCAGTAGCAGTACAAATACTATAATCCTCGTGGCCTAAGATCTCTCTGATTTCAGAATCATTCATTTGAAGCTGTGCAAACAGCCATTCTTTCGGCGTCGAAACATTTCCTTCCATAAGCATCTTGATAAGCAAAAGTCCTCGCGAGAGTATTACTGTGTTTAGCTTGCGAAATGCATAATCTTGCTGAATATTTTGTCCGAACTCGGGTTGTTTCATTCTGATATCCGAAAGTTCTGCCCCCGCGTGGTCACCGTATTGCCCCGCAGGAGTACAATCAATGTATATTGACCAACGTTGCATAGCAACTCCAAATGCTGTTGTGTTGATGTTTTCCCGCCACCAGAAACACCAGTGAGAACAATTGTGTCTTTCGAATGTCTCGTCAGTTTTTCTTGTACAAGAAGAACCGTTTCTTTAAATTGGGGGTCATCGTAAAAGGGATTGGTATAGTTCATTCCAGATTTCGACTTATACGAAGGGAGGCACAAATCGACCATTACGGGGGGCTTTCCAGTCTCACTTGTGGTGCTGGGCAAACATATTTTGAAAAAAGAGGGATCCATCTTTAGTTTAACATAAGGATCCTTTTGCGGTCCGGAAGGGTCACTTTTCAACGTTTCAGCATGCCAAATCAAGGCGAGCGCGTCAACAAGCCGGTCAATTGAAAAAAAATCGACATGCGGGAAGAAATTTCTAACTATAGGAAAGAATAAATGTGAGCGAGAGGTCTTTTAAAAAAAAGCTAAACTTCCAATGTGACAAACCTTTATTTTTAATTTCGTTAGGAATATACTTCGACAAAACTAATGCGGTGAATTTAAAAGAGATAAAATGTTTGAAATCCACCTATCATTGTCAATTGTACGCTTGAGACAAATTTATTCAAGGGATAAAACATCGAGAGACACTTGCCGGTGGTGGTAGGTGGTTGCACGATGATATGGATAATCTTTACGGAAGGTGGTTGTTGTTCAGAGAAATCACGTGGAATATCATCTGCCGGCAACATTTCTATACCTCTCAGATCCTGCTCAACGTCCATTTTATGAGACGCATCATCAAGTATTTTTAGTTTATTTTCGTCGTCTATAGGAATATTAACTTTCCATAATATGAGATCATTTGCATCAATACAACTAAAGATGTTCTCTTTTTCCTTTTTGATTTCGGACTGGAGATGCGAAACGGTGGAAAATTTTTTGGTGATATTGACCGCAAAAATTTTCCCTTTAGCAGGAACTTCACCTAGAACGAGACAAAATACCATGATGTTGGTATTTCTGCAAATGCGAAAAATTTAGTTAAAAACATAGATTTAATTTCCCGGTAGAATTTAAAATAGCGACCTTGACTGACGACCGTTTTAACGAGTGGACCTTTGACGGTGTAAGTTTCCAAACCGGATGAAGGTGCAAAAAAAAAAAAAAGAAAGAAAGAAAGAAAAAAAGAAATTCTTGGTCTGTATTATAATTACGTACACAATTTTTCGGTCATATGGTACGTATAATTGTTTCTGTTTATTATGTAAATCACGTACTTACTGTATTACGTACGAGACACTTTGTTTTTAATACAATAATATGTAATATTTGTCAAAATCTTTATACTTGCCGTCTTCTAATAATTAATAGGTTACAAGAATAAGAAATATCATATTTGTTAATTAAAAAACGAGCATAAAACTGTACATATCCGCCAATAAAAACAATAAGATAATTAGTTAACACTGATTTTCAGTTGTCAAAAAAAGCCGACTACGTATTGGAAAGCTTATTAATATTCATCATCTAATTTGTTCGCTAAAAAGAAAATGAGCAATAAATTTAAATTAGTAAAATAAAAAAAAAGTCATTCGCGAAATTTGCATTTGTGCTTACCATCTAAAAACGATAAATAGATCCATAAAAGTATACTCATACCAGATCAAATAAAATGAATACAAGATCAATAAATTACTGTCTAACAAATTTCAAAAAGTAAGCAAAAAGGTTTCATGAACGTCATCATGAATGATCACAAGTTACGACAAGTTACAGTATATGTAAATTCTAATCAGTATTTTCCTGTTAACAATTTTTAACGCATGTCAGAGAACTTCTATCAAAAAAGAATACTAAAAAGTTCATCCATACATACAATCTACGTGATCGTTTGGTCGTTTGGTGAGTTGGCACCGTAATTAACCAAGGAAGGGGGTAGCATTAAAAATTTACGAAATATTCGCCCGCTATACCAGAAACATTGAGAAATTAAAGGAATGTTAATGATGCACAAAAAATGAGTTTCGTGATGATTACGAATCGATTAAGTTTCCTTGATTAAGCATACTCGTCCTCTATGGTTTAGTGAAATAATGATCTGTCTATAAATTAGAATAATATGTAAAAGGCGGTGTTGTATTTACCCTCAGATCAGAATTTGCAAAATAAGAGCCAGGCCAGGTTGTGGAACAAATTACAGTACGTACTTTTATTAAAAAACAAATACTATATATGCCCGCTTAATTAAATATTGTAAATGATGTACTGTACGTACGGTAGATCGATCTCTCGCATTATACGTACTGTAATTAATAAATGCTATCCCGGTGCATACAGTGAAACCGAATACGTATTGTAAAACCCATCTAATTTGGTTAACTAAATGGTAAAAAAATTGCACGGCGAATTTGAGGAACGTTATCGCGATTAGTCAATTAGAGGAACAATATTAACAATTTATGCAGACCCAATGTGGTTTAATATCCGTAATACAAATTAAAGTGCGATGTCACGATCAATTAAGAGAGAAACAATGAGACACCTGCATACCATCTAATTTGTTAAAAAATTATGTGGGTTAGGAAGGGGATTAGGATATAGTGTTTTAATTAATGTGAATATGAAGTACTGTGTTTGTAAATCCGCGTATTCGCACAAGAAAACTTAGGAAAAATAAATGATCACGCAAACATTAAAATAATGACATATGCATTATATATTATCTAGGAATGAATTCGAATCTTATACTCAACATCTAATAATTTAATGATAAATAATAGATTAAAATCTCGCAAACCATTAATTAAAAAAAAAAAAAAAAAAAAAAAAAAAAAAAAAAAAAAAAAAAAAAAAAAAAAA